ATTTTTTAAAGTGTGCGATTTAAAGCGAAACGAAATTCAGTTCACACATCTATAAACGATTCTTAATAAGACTGCTGATTTGGATTTGCGTTATTTTCAATTTGAAAAAATTTATTTTTGACAGTTTTGTTTAAACTGCTGTATTTTTAAAGTGTGCGACTTAAAGCGAAACGAAATTCAGTTCACACATCTATAAACGATTCTTAATAAGACTGCTGATTTGATTTGCGTTATTTTCAATTTGAAAAAATTTATTTTTGACAGTTTTGTTTAAACTGCTGTATTTTTTAAAGTGTGCGATTTAAAGCGAAACGAAATTCAGTTCACATATCTATAAACGATTCTTAATAAGACTGCTGATTTGGATTTGCGTTATTTTCAATTTGAAAAAATTATTTTTGACAGTTTTGTTTAAACTGCTGTATTTTTAAAGTGTGCGATTTAAAGCGAAACGAATTTCAGTTCACACATCTATAAACGATTCTTAATAAGACTGCTGATTTGGATTTGCGTTATTTTCAATTTGAAAAAATTTATTTTGACAGTTTTGTTTAAACTGCTGTATTTTTAAAGTGTGCGATTTAAAGCGAAACGAAATTCAGTTCACACATCTATAAACGATTCTTAATAAGACTGCTGATTTGGATTTGCGTTATTTTCAATTTGGGAAAAACTTGAACTTTGATTTTTTTAAAGACGACGCGAGCGATCGACGTACTATCATTTTCGGTATTAAAAAAAATTAATTTTTTATAGTCAGTGTCAGATTCACATTAATATATATTAAAAACACATTTTCAAGTGCGTTCAAGTCTTTAAGCGAAGATAGATCGATTTCGATGTTGAAGCGAAATATTTAAAAGTGACAAGCTTAAAGATATGTCAAATATACATGCTCAGTCATGTTTAGAATCGTTTCTTGTGGTTCGGGACATTCGCCTACGAATGTTACATCGATGTAGAAAGCAGAATTAAAATCTTGAAATTTGAAAAAATTCATCTTTGACAGTTTTGTTTAAACTGCTGTATTTTTAAAGTGTGCGACTAAAGCGAAACGAAATTCAGTTCACACATCTATAAACGATTCTTAATAAGACTGCTGATTTGGATTTGCGTTATTTTCAATTTGGGGAAAAACTTGAACTTTGGATTTTTTTAAAGACGACGCGAGCGATCGACATACTATCATTTTCGGTATTAAAAAAATTAATTCTTTATAGTCAGGTGTTAGATTTACATTAATATATATTAAAAACATTTTCAAGTGCGTTCAAAGTCTTTAAGCGAAGATAGATCGATTTCGATGTTGAAGCGAAATATTTAAAAAGTGACAAGCTTGAAGATATGTCAAATATACATGCTCAGTCATGTTTAGAATCGTTTCTTGTAGTTCGGGACATTCGCCTACGAATGTTACATCGATCTAGAAAGCAGAATTAAAAAATCTTGAAATTTGAAAAAATTCATCTTTGACAGTTTTGTTTAAACTGCTGTATTTTTTAAAGTGTGCAACTACAAGCGAAACGAAATTCACTTCACACATCTATAAACGATTCTTAATAAGACTGCTGATTTGGATTTGCGTTATTTTCAATTTGGGGAAAAACTTGAACTTTGGATTTTTTTAAAGACGACGCGAGCGATCGACATACTATCATTTTCGGTATTAAAAAAATTAATTCTTATAGTCAGCTGTTAGATTCACATTAATATATATTAAAAACACATTTTCAAGTGCGTTCAAAGTCTTTAAGCGAAGATAGATCGATTTCGATGTTGAAGCGAAAAATTTAAAAAGTGACAAGCTTTAAGATATGTCAAATATACATGCTCCGTCGTGTTCAGAATTGTTTCTTGTGGTTTGGACATTCGCCTACGAATGTTACATCGATTCTAGATAGCAGAATTGAAAAATCTTGAAATTTGAAAAAATTCATTTTTGACAGTTTTGTTGAAACTGCTGTATTTTTTAAAGTGTGCAACTACAAGCGAAACGAAATTCATTACACATTTATTAACGATTTTTAATAAGACTGCTGATTTGGATTTGCGTTATTTTTAATGTGGGGAAAAACTTGAACTTTGAATTTTTTTATAGACGACGCGAGCGATCGACGTACTATCATTTTCGGTATTAAAAAAATTAATTTTTTATATTCTGCTGTCAGATTCACATATATATATATTAAAAACGCATATTCAAGTGCGTTCAAATTTTTTAAGCGAAGATAGATCGATTTCGATGTTGAAGCGAAATATTTAAAAAGTGACAAGCTTTAAGATATATTAGTATACATGCTCAGTTGTGTTTAGAATCGTTTTTCGGAACATTCGCAATTGAAAGATATATCGATGGAAAAAGCAGAATTTGAAAATATAAGAAAATCGTTTTTGACAGTGTTTTTTAAAGTACTGTGATTTTTGAGTATGCAACTACAAGCGAAACGAAAATTACTTTACACAACTAGAAACGATTCTCAATAAGACTGCGCATTCGAATTTGCGTTATTTTAAAATTCGGTCATAATTTTATATTTGTGATTTTTACATTGACGACGCATGCGATCGAAATGCCATCATTTCCTGGATAAAAAAATTTTTTTTCAAACTCAGGTGACACATTCACATTAATATTGTAAAAACACGACATTTCCATGTGCGATCTAATGTCTTTAATCGAATATAGATGAATGTCGATCTTGAAGCGAAAAATTTAAAAGTTACCAACTTTGAGATATTTCAAACATGCTGGCGCAGTCGTTTTTAAAATTTTTTGCTGTTTTTATCATTCGCAATCAAAATATATATCGCTGGAAAAAGCAGAATTTAAAATTTTTAAGTTCGACTAATGATCATTTTTTACAGTTTTTTTTTAATTATTGTAATTTTTAAACCATTTATATTTTAAGGTATGCAACTGCAAACTAAAAGAAATTTATTATTCAACTAAAGACGATTTTAAGAAGTCTACGCTTAGTCGGATGTGTTAGATGTGTCTAATGTTTTGTATAGTTATATATATATTATATGAATATCTGTTGCACGATTGGAATGTCAAATTGTATTTTAACAGTTTTACTCTCTCATCGTGTAGTTGACATTACGTTGTCAGGACTTTCTGGAAACGCTAATAATGAAATAAGTACTTTGTCGTCTATATTTTCGAAATTTTTTACATTTTTTTTTATTTGCATCTCATAACGTATTGTTTAAAAAATATCGATGATAGAATGATGAATGTAATGGAAAATAAATTTTATCATGATATTGATTATGTCTTTTGAGGCTTGTAAGAATAATTTTTGTATACATACGTGCACAATTTGTTGCAAATTTAATTCGCATGTTTTGTATAATACATGCACTATATCGCGCGACCGACTTTTTGTAATCTTCGATCTTCCACTACAATGTATTCATGGTTGTGGAAATGTTCAGAGCCGGCTGGTCGATATTAGCTTGAGATTTAAAATACCTCTCTAAAACGTAGAAATGCAGTATGAGAAGGAACGAGGCTTATTTTGCAAACAAGATATTTTATACTCTTTTGTAAAAGATGAATTATGTGTTTTTTTCTTTGGATTATGTGTGTGTACATTTTCAAATGTAATTTTTAAATCAATAAAGTTAAAATTTGCAAAACTGAGTTATTTAGATTACAATGCATAGAAGAAAGAATACTTTCATGAATTTTTATTTGAATTTTAAATTTAATTAAATTATATATATAAATATAATTGAAATTAAATTATTGGATAGTTCATAAATCTCATATATCATATCTCTCTTTTATTCTCTCTTATTATTATATCATATAAATGTTAAACGATATTAAATATAAAGTAGATAATGTGCATGTTAGAAGAGAAGAAACGATTGCGATATTCCGAAAGTAAAGACAAATTTTTGTTCTGAACGTTCTGAATCTCCGTTATTAAAGGAAAAGCGTATTTCGAGGGTCCATTAATTAGCGCCTCGTCGTCGACTCTACAAAGCGACGTCGAGCACGCGTGCATCTACTGCATGGCAGCGTTGGGGTCGGACGAACAACGCGCGCGTTGGTAAAATGAATCGAAGGGATATCGTTGGTAGATAGCGGGGGAGACGTCGGGGATGAATCAGCGAGGGCGGCAAGACCTGCCGTCAGTCGCGCGACGCGTTTTTCCCGCCGCCAGCGTCGACGGCATCGCAAGAGCGGAACGTTTAGCGCGCGTCGCTGCATTTTTTTTTCATGCACGTTCGACGCGTCGCGAATTAAATCAGGTGACTCGTCGCGTATACGCTTGAACGATCGAACGACTCCGTCACGTGCGATCGGCGCCGCGCGATTATCGTACGCGCTCGAATGTGATCAGGTGACCTGTCACGTGCGAACGGCGCCGCCGTCTCTTCCCTCCCCCACTTTCACCGTCAACGCCATCGCACGCGACAACCTGTATTATCGATCGCGCGCGTGCCGCAGTTCCGCATGCCGCGCGTTTGGCCAATCGCGAGTGTAACAACACGGTATAAAACAAGGCTGCCGATTTCGAGGTATGGCTCCAGAAGACCGCAATAAATAGATTCAATATACATATATCTTAAATATATTTATATATTCAGTTATCTCGTTTATAATCGCTTGATTTGAACATTTTCTATGGGACTATAATACTTCGCAATTATATACGTGATCATGATTGAGTATACGACATCTGTGATCATGGATATTAATTAGTCGGCCAAAGCTGACGAGACAGATTAGAGTGTTATTATTTTCATTTATTGCTATTTTTTTAATAATAAGAAAGATATCCTTGATTCTCGCGTGGACGAAAGCAGTCGGCATCTATAAACATAAGAAAGAAGAATCTAACCTACATGCCGGCCGGCCGGCTGATCTCGCGGCTACATCGGTTTTTCGTAGTTCGATACAATTTCGCGCGCGTGTCGCACGTCATCATGACGTAATCGAGTTCTGCGGTTTACGAGTGTTTCGAGATCGACATTTCGTGTCTTACGTTGGTATCGTGCTCGCGCACAACTTTTCGCAATGCGCCGAACTGCGAAATTTTGATCTGGCGATCGAGAATGTGTTTTTCGCGCCTGTTCGCTGCTCCTGCGTCATCTCCTAAACGACTAACTGCGTCTCTATAAGAGGTAAAAATTTCGGTATTATATATTATAAATACCACATTTACAATAGCGTCTAAAATCGATTGATGATCTATATCCTAATATGATATCCGGAAATATTTTTTATATATAAATTATATATAAATGATTGTATAATTATACGTAAAATAAATATGTGAAATATGTCCATTTTATACAAAAATATAAAATTTATATATAATTATAGAAGAGTTGATATATTATCATGTCAAATTATATATGAAAATATATATTTTATTTATATATATATGAAGAAATATTATCTTATTATCTTATATATATATTATATATATAAATTTATATATAATTATATATAAAAAAACACTTATCTAATTACGTATGGACATTTTCATATATATAGTTTTGCGATTATTGTATAATTTAATATTTCTATACAATTTTTTGTATATATAAAACATTTTTCCCGGATATTATGTTACGTTTATAATAGAAATGGTGCAGATAAATCGAGCATTTCTTTAGTATTATAAGAATCGAGTACAAAAAGAGAAAACTTCTATCTGGCAAATATCAAAAATGTTTCTTTCTTGGATTGCTTCTGGCTTTATAGGTGTGTGTGTTGCATTTGCGTGTGTGTATACGTTCGCATTTAGCGAGCGTCAGGTACGTACCTTTTATTCTTTTTACCTACTTTTAAAGTACACAATGGTCGGTTTATTTATACGAAGTATGGTAATGCTCGCACGAATACTGTTACTCATATTCGAAGTAATCAAAGCACTTTACAAATCAATTATAAACTATTCTCACATCTATTTAAATATACATTTGCACATTTTAATATTATACATAAAATATTGAAATTCTATATTTCAGTTCTTTAACTAAAGTAAGAAAAATTATTATTAAAGATATAAAATAATATTAGAATAAAAAAATATTGAAAATTTTAATAACAAGATAAATATTATATATATAATATTTTATTAATAATAAATATATTTTTATTTCATATGTTCGATGAAAATAAGTAATACGTAGATAATTACATTAAAAAATTAATAATGAAAATTAAATAGTTATAAAAACAATTTGAATAAATAAAGAAGTATATCTAGTTTCAACTTTTGCACTCTTTAAAATTATTGTTTCAAATATGTTTCATATAATCGCAAATAATCGTTAGCATATATGATATGTTCTATGGTAGAATGCATTTGGAATGCATCCTGCCATAAATATAGGTGCATTTATACGGATTCATTATATTGACGTATGTGCACTACAAAGTGTGTAGTATTTCAGTAACGTGCTATGATTACTTGCATGTCGCATCTTGTGTGTGAAGCTGACTTCACATCACGGATCAGTGTCAAAAGTAACGCAACTCCCGGTAGGGTGGATGTAAAGGGATACGTCTGCATAAGAGCGAATCTAGATGTCTTTGCACCCTGTAGAATAATAATTTTGACGGGATTTTAAAGTCTTGATTATACATGCAAGATTTTAGATTTATGAAAGACGGCGTTTTAAGGAACCCTAATTTATTAATAATAAAACATTGCAATAACTAATAAAAATTTTGAAAAGCAAATAAAATTTGCACTAAAATTTATACTAGAAATTTTATTAAATCTTTATTGAATTTATTGCAAAAGCGCAATCTTAATTATGGAATTATTTTATATCCGCAAGAAATAATTCCATTAAATAATTATACCAAATTTAATAATAGGAGAAATATTTCGAAATTCTGGACATTAAATTTAAAAATGTAAAAATTTCTCTCTTGAGATTTCACGTTACATTTTATGTTCGTTGAAACTGCAGAGAATATCGGGGAATAATGAGATTCTGAATTTATTTTCTTTTTCAAATAACCCTACGTACTTTTGTAGAACCAAGGTCGACGACCTTACGCTCGTCTCAGTTTAACAGCCCCCGAGTTTAGTACGACACATCTATGAGACATCGTCGCGATACACGAGGAAAGCCAGATAAGGGGCGGAGAGAACTCGAGTGGGGGATGCGGGTGGTTTTGCGGAAGCCGAGACGACGGTCGAGGGGTAACCCGTGCTACCCGAAACGAAGGGTAGTTCGCGCGAACATCGAAAGAAGGATACGAGGGGGAGAGGAGAGAGAGAGAGAGAGAGGCGGAGGTTAGGAAAAGAGACCGGGTGTTGGACGGGACTGCTTAGGATGCACTATGGTTATGGGTTTCATGTCGATCGAACTACGCGATGCGATTTGCAGATTGGTAAATTATACGAAATATATGAAGTTTTGAATAAGAGAATAGAAGTGTAAATATACTGAAAAAAAATTAATTATTCAAATAAATAATTATTTCAATACTCTCTTATACATCATTATTTGAAACTAATAATATTATTTGTTGTGAAAAAATTTATTTGATATAAGAAATCTTTGTTCCAAACAGATAATATCTATTTGTTTCAAAACAATGCTACTTTTTTATCAATAATTTGTAAGGTCTTTACATTTCTGCGTTAAAGAGTTAATCATCAAGAAAAAATTTTATCTTTTCATAATCTAATATAAGGTAATAATATTAATACAAAAATTAAGTTTTTAAAAAATAGCATATTTAAATAGCATATTTAAGAGCTCTGAAAAAAGGACTAACTTTTTAAGTGTCGGAAAGTTTTATTATAACTCAAATCGAGTCTGCTGAGATAAAAAAGTTATTATTAATTTTCATATAATGAAAAAACTTAGCAGCCCCATACCTTGGGTTCTTATTTTTTACGTTTAATCGCTAAGAAAAATTCTGAAACATATCAGGAACTTTAGAATTATTTGCGAAAGAACTTATTAATTGTAAATATAAAAACTCCGAAATAATCTATTAGTATAACTTTACAAAGGGTGAGGAGAGACTGATTCGTTGTTTATTTTTCGTACAATAATTATATGGCATTCGTGTTATATCACGAGATATGCACCCGTGTGCACAGCGTGTGCGCCACGGTGGATGGTCGGCACGATCCCATCATCGATGCATTGCCATGGAAACGGCACCGCCACGCGAACATGTGTGCCACCTTGCGCCGCTTTAGGACGGCAGACTAGTTTCAAGGGCTGCTCAATGCGCCTTAAGAGTGCAAGGACGATCAATATCTCTCGTACCCTTACCTTCCCTCGTCCTTATGAGCTT